TGGTGAGGCTGCATGTGTGACCTAGAGCTGACCTCTCCCTCTCCTGCAGGTGCAGCAGTACCGAGTTGCCATGACTGCTAAGGACTGCTCCATCATGATTGCTCTCTCCCCTTGTCTGCAGGACACAAGGTGAGATGCCCACTGCCATGTCATATGTCCTTGGTCTAACAGGATTTTGTGGACTAACAGCACAATCAGTTTCCCCATATTTAGGACCTCCTCCCCCCACACCCCAACCCAGACAGGACCACTGCCTCCTCAGCCTACCTGATGTCATGGGGCTTATTAACTTTTGCTCTCTAGAAGTTTGTAATTCAGTCAATAAAATTTATGAAGATTGTTCTACTGAAATGAAAATTACTGTTAGGAAGAAAATACCCTAAGGGTAAAGCAGTTTGGATAGTGTGGTGCACATTCCTTTCTCTGAAGGGAAGCCCGGGCCTCAAGGCCCCGAGGTCTGAGATGGCGTAGGTTCCCACTGCCTTGTCCTCATTTTTCTACCAGTTCAGCGTGGTGTGCCAACTTGTATAACCCACAGCCAAAAAGCCTTTCAAACAACACATTCATTGTTCTGCTTCCTCTTCTAAATAACCAACAGTGTTTGTGGCCTCTCTCCCTGAACTTTGTTATTTTTGTCCAGTTCCCTCCCTTGCTTTTTTTAGAATTCAGGATGAACCTGATAATCTCATAGTAATTAGATGCATCTTCAGCACTGATCTTCAGGGGTGCCAAGCCTCTGAATGTTCTGCATTCTTCGGACATGTGTTCCTGGGTCAAGATGACCTCAGTTGCTGGCTGCTAGCCATCCATTTTTCTGATGCTTTTGAACTACAGTTCCCAAGAGTCCTGTTCCCCGGCAGGCACAGAATTGTTCACTTTCTGATAAAAAATACTGAGGAACATGTATAGGGCATAACTGAGACGTTGTTACATTTAGTTGAAAACCTCTGTTATCCCCAAGAAAATAGCCCCAGTGCTCAGTTATGAGGAATCCAGTTAGCTGGTTTAAGCTAGTGTTGTTAGATGAGAGAATAGCCACAAAAATGTTACCATCCATCCTCCTTCCTGACCAAGGATGCAGGTGAGAAATGGGAATGTGCTCAGATAAAGTCGCACTGTTGTGCTCAGCTGAGAGAGGGTCTCTGCATGCTCCCCACGCTTCTCCTCGAAGCACACACACAGGGGTGAGGGCAACTGAGCCCCTAGGTGTGTGTCTGGGGTGTCTCGGCCTCCTTTGAAGAAAGTTTGTGCAGTGGCCACACCTCTAACATTCCAGTGAGTGGGGGGCTCCTGGCCCAGGATGTGATGCTCAGGAAACCCAAAGACAAACTAAGGCTGGGATTTGTAATGAGTTGTCTTTGCATCCTTGAGATGCACAGTAAACCTGAGACTAAATTTATATTCGTAAACGTTAATTTACAGCTGACAGGTAGATTGACTATATTTAAACTTGTCATATCACCTAAATAAAGGCTTCAATTCTGCTCTGCTATTTCTGCCCTGTTATAAAAGAAAAAGCCTTAAGTTGAATCTGTTGTCTTGTCGCTGCAGATGTTTGACCTTTAGGGACTTTGAGACTATGGGGAAAGCTGCCCATATACTCCTGTCCTTAAATCCTGCAACTCCTCTTGATTTCCTGTTCCAAACAGTGTGAGCAGCCACTGCCAGCCCTGGCTTCTCCATCCCTGTTCCTAACATTCCTTGGAGGGTGCTTGTCCACTTGGCCACTCTCCCAGCTGGTCAGTACCTTAAAGAACAGCTGTCCAGGCAAGGGCAGCTCCCCTGCACTGGTAGGTTGTCCCAGCCCCAGTATCCGAGGCAGCTAGAGGACACACATGTTCATGGCAGAAGGGAAGTGTGTGTCCCTGGGAGCCTCCTGCCCAGCCTCAGGGCCACTAAGGGGCAGAAAAGCGTATCAGAGTCAGGTGCTGGCATGTGTTGGCCACTGGCTTTTGTGGAGCTTGTAGCTGACCAGTCAGACCTTCCCCAAGAGCTGCTCAGAAGATCCTTCCTCTTTATAAGGGTTGAATGTCGAGTGCTGTTCCTAACATGAGAAATTGAGGGGTCCTTTAAAAGAGGTAGCCCTTGTCACAGGCCAGAAACATGGATGGTCCCAGCCCAGCTGTGGTAAGCTCGGGTCTCAGGCCCAGAACTGAGCAGTGCGTAAGATAGGGCCACTCAGGACAAGCAGGCCCCTTCCAGCTTCCAGACTGAGAGTCAGGACCTTAATGTGTAGATGAGTTATTTGATGTTCTCTACCATTCAGGAAACAGTAGTTAATGATCCTAGCAACCAAGTTGAGGTTTCATTTTCCCTGTAAACAAGATTCTGGAGCAGGAATTAAGTGAGAGTCTAGGCCATGATTAATATACTCAGAACAGGAATATGTTCATTGGTGTTTCCTCTTCCAGGAAGGAGCTTTTAAACTGGTGTTTTGTTTTGTTTTTTAACGACTTCTAAATCTAGAAGAGTAGCAAGCGTGGAGAAACCAGAACCCCAGAGCACTTCTCTTGGGCTAAACCGACTTTATATAATTTAGCCAATCATTTGAATGCTGACTATGTGCTAAGTACCCCAAGAGCAAAGTGGGATATACAGCAATCTTAGTATAAAATTCAGAGTTACTCAATGTATTTTTAAGTACAAATAATTATTCATATTTTGTTATGAGCACATAAGTATTCTGATGTTTATATAAACCACAAAACTGAGCAATGAGAAACAAAATACAAAGCACTGAAGATACGATTTGAGAATAAAACATGAAACCAGAGCTCTCTACAAATGTGAAAAGCATAAAGGAGCATGAGTTTCTCACCAGACACGGGAAAAGGCACATAAAGAGAGAAGTCTGTTCTCAACATTTCATCCATTTGGCTGTTCAGTGGCCAGATCTTTCTACTTTTTCTTAGGTTTTGTAATACTTGGCTCATGATGAAGTGACTTTCTCAGCGTTCATTTATACCACTGGGATATGGGGACTATCACTCACATTTTCTACGTAATTGCTTTTCCATCTTTTGTCCTTTAACCCTCTCTCGTCTGGTGTGTTGTCATGTGCAGGCCTGAATCACAGTAGGCACCTACCTACCTGCAGAAGCTTTATGTGCTAGTACATACAGCTGGCACAGAGATATAATGTATACAGAAACACAAAATGCATGGTTTTTGTGAGCCGGGATGAGAGGATTTAGGATGTCTGTGTATTCTGAACTTGCTTTCTTACTTGCAGCTCTGATCAAAGGCCTGTCGTCCTTTCATCGAGGTCCAGGTTCACCTTCTCTGTGTCTGTGCTGGACCTCGACCTCAAGCCCTACGAGAGCATTCCTCACCAGTATAAACTTGATGGCAAGATAGTCAACTATTATTCAAAGACTGTACGTGCCAAAGATGATGTCATGATGTCAACTCGGTTCAAGGAAAGCGATGATTGCACATTAGTTCTACATAAGGTCTAACTTTTTCTCCTGCAGTGTCTTTGAAACTTGAACATAGAATGTGAAGGTTGAATGACAGAGCTGTTGTCTGTTGTGCTGGGTGGCCTTTGGCTGTGAATGTTTTTGCTTTTAACCCCTGTTGAGGTGGGATTGCCTCTTGGAGACATGGAATCAAAGAGCACTAGAAACATCTTCCAAGACAAGGAATGTAGGACGTGAGTGCTGTGTCCCAGGAAGCTGCTCACGTTCTTAAAACGGAAGTGTCCGTTAAGCCCTGGGAAGACATTCTGGGTAGTTCTTCCTTCCCAGCGAGGGCTCATGTCTAATTCTCTAATGCAAAAAGCCTTATTATAAGACCCAAGGTTTGGATTTCCTACCACCAGACTCCTAACATAGAAAACTTGAATTATCACGTGCATCTTACGGTTTGGACTTTAAAAAAACATGGATACTACTGGAACTTTTCCCCAGCTGAGTTACTTAGTCACTTTTTCAGTGCAAGCCACACATCAACACAGGTTTAGGTGGTTCCCTGCTGCTTCAGGTGATTAGTGGGGACGTCTGTTCTGCGTGATCTAGACCCAGGGTCCCTGTGGAAGTGCCGAAGCCCAGGGCTCTGGAAGGGTCAGCAGGGAGCGCAAGACTCAGGTCAGGATGGACACCACTCATGTGAGCATTGACTTTTTCTTTCTGCTTTACAATTTTGTCTTTAACTTCAACGGGAGATAAGGCATTCTTTCCCACTTGAAATTGCTGCTGTAGAAGCTGGATGCGGAGCTGTAACTCGCTGAGCTACTGTGGCTGAGCTTGGGTGGGTGTGCCCCTGACGGCCCAATGTTTTCCTGGCACTCTGGTGTTTTGGGTGGTGAAGGAATGAATTTTCCCTTCCTCCCAGACTGCATTCCTCCCTTGGGTTTGCCTTGAGATGTGTCAGGTTTGCAGGTCTCACAGCCTTGCCTGTTCCTGTTGGAGCTGCCAAAGGCAGGCCCTGCTTCTGGAAGATGAATGACTCCTGGCTGGAGCCAAGAGGGTTCTTGTTGGGGTCACCAAATGTGTGCCCGGCTGCTATGAAAACTGTTAGGAATCTTGGCTTCAGTTTTTTATTCTATGGTAGGTTGTACAGACTGATTATTATTTATATCATCATTTTGAAGGACTAATGAAGGCTTATTGTAACATATAATATTAGCAAAACCATGGAATTGTATGAAAATGCTACATGAAAAATAAGACAAATATTTTGCTGATTGTAAATTTTTGTGGGAAATTTTGTGATAACTTGGCAAATTATACTTGTTTGAATCAAGCCAACTCTTCTAGAGTTTATTGTTCAATCCTGTCCTAATGTTTACTCCTAACTTTATTCTGCACTCAGAAGTCCAAAAAGATACTTTTGCATTTGGACACCTTTAATTTTTTCTTCTGATTTCAAATGACATCATTTCTTATACATATGCCTTGTATGTGCTGGGCTGGGTTGGGGAGCTCTGGAGACACCACCTAAGTGAGGTGTGTGGAGGTCACACTCTCATGGGTGAGGTGCAGGCTCTGGAAGACATGGAGCGAAGTGGCTTTCAGTATTGTTTTGATCCGCAGTTGCTGGTCCTGGGCTGGGGCAGCTTCGCTCGGGATGATTTTGCCTGGCACCATGGTTTGAGTGCCTATGCCAGTCCACATCCCTCTGTGGGAGGTGCTCTGGAACCTAAGCCTGTCGAGTAGGTGGGCTGGGTCCTCTTGGGTTGTGAAACTTACTGACTGGCATGGGTCCTAGTTCTGGCTAGACTGGACAGTATGCAAACAGTCTCTATTTGGGGGAGAAAACAGATGGAACACCCCATGACAGTCTTGGCTCCTGTGAGCCCTGGGCTCAGAGGAGCTCCTGAGTCCAGCAGGCACAGGCACTGCTGCTGTGGATGTGTCTCTGGCCCTCACCCTGAACCTACTGCTGTGCTCAGACTCCAGAATGGCCCAACTGGTTAGAAATAACATGCTTTCACTGATCCTAACAGCATTATAATGGGTGGCTGAGGTGTTCACCAAAGTCACAGTTCTTAAAGTACGTCTGAGACTGTTGACATAGCACTTGTACTCTGTGGGTGGGTCTTTAGCAAAGGGCCAGTTTCCTTTGTGCCAGGCCTTGGGTGAAGGGAACAATGCTGTCTTTGCTGGCTTATGGCATATTTTTAAGCTAACAGCTCCACTTGTTTATGGAAGACCAAGATGAGTGTCAGGACTTGCTGAGGGATGCTGTGAGTGCCGCCCGGTGCTGCTTTGCAGACCAGGAGGTGAGAAGGATGCGTGTGCCTGCCCTGGGCTACCAAAGAATGTTTACAAAGTGATGCTCCACGGGCAACGGCTGCAAGCATGCCTAGCACACCTTCTCAAGTGTATGGGCACCTCTGCCCCAGACTTTGTACGAAGCGGAGGTGCATGGGGACAGAGCTCCTCCCTGCACATCCAAGGACGGATAACCACTCTTGGTACATTTTCTCAAATGTTAAGCTTATTTTTTAAAACTACACTGTACAGGTCACTTTTATTTTGCATTTTATACTTAAATAGCTGTATTTATATTTCACGTCATGAGAGTTTATATAGAATGTGCCATAACTGCATAGACAGCATGTTTTAAGGGGGTGGTGTCTAAGCAGAAAATAGCAAATGTTTATACTCAATAAAATCAAGTGCTTCTCAGTGCAGCATCTCATTCCTACACATACACCATTGGGGAACTAGTCATTCTCCTCTGCACAAAGCAGTTTTATCAGGCTTTCTACAGCAACTTCAATTCCAAGCACTCCCAGCAGGGTTCGGAAGCTGAGAGGAGCAGCTTCTATGACTCTGTTCTTGTCCAGTTCAAGGGCTACAAAGAAAATATAAACCGGGTAAGAAATTTCAGGGTGCAGCTTTTGGTTTCGTGTTTATTCCTGGTGTTGGCCTCACCAAGACCCTTTCCTCCTCCCTACATGCCACAGAATGGGAAACGCTAGAGACAGGATGGTGAGGATGTGAGCGGAGCCGTCACCTGTGGCTCAAGGCAGAGAGAAACTATTCCCTCGTGCGTTCGGCCTGGGAGCGTCTCGGGGGAAGTAACCCCCTCTCATATACATTTTCAGTGATTACTGATAAAAATATTTTAAAAACTGATGTACAAAGTACATTAATGAGATTTTCAACTTTTGATTCTTGCCATGTAAAACCAGATGAAATAAGAAGTAACCTAGAACACCCACATCCAGGGGGCCCTACCTCGCTGTGGGACTTTGGTGAGAAGATCCAGCTTTGGTAAAACCTTCCCTTTTTCATCTATTTGTATCCTCCAAACAATTATGAATTCAAACCTGAAAGAGAGGCAAACGTCATTAAGTGCTTTGTGAAATCTGGTTATAAAATTAACCTATAAGTAGCACCTGGTCTCTATCTATCTATCTATGCTGCGCTCCCCTGCTCCTAAAGACATCTACCCACAGATGGAGAAAAAGAATTAACCTATAAGTAGCACCTGGTCTCTATCTATCTATGCTGCGCTCCCCTGCTCCTAAAGACATCTACCCACAGATGGAGAAAAAGTGCAGTCAATTACACAGGAAAATGGAAATTAAGACTATAGCAAGATACTGCTTTGTACCCACTACATTGGTGAAAATTAGTATGACAATGTAAGAGAAGCACAGGATATACAGCAACAGGAACTTATAAATTACCAGTGGGAATATAAACTAATAAACTACTTTCTAAACAATCTGTCATTGACAGAAAGCTGAACATACACCTACCCTATGACCCAGGAATTTGATCTCTAGGTATACGAGCCCAAGAGAAGCTTGTGTACTGTGTGCCAGGAGGTACGAACAGTAGGATGCACAAGGACATTTTGGTGTATTCACCTACTGGAAGATGAACAACAAAAATGTATGAACTACAGCTACATGTGACACCAAGGCAAGTCCCAGAAGCCCACATGATGACACTTTTTAAGGCTTGAAAACAAAGCTTTTCAGGCATTCGTACATAGGTCAAAAAGGCACACATACAGGTAGATACGTGTGCACACATGCACACACAAAGGCAAGAGGATGAAAACAGGAAATACGGACAGCGGCTCTGGGCAGAGCACGGCAGGAAGGGGCCCGGGGCTGGTGAAGGGAAACGGCTGGGATCTGGAGTGTGGGCCTGTTTCCCCATCTCCTCCTGTTGCACGGCTTCTTGGGGGCTCTCCACTCCCTCACACCTGGCCTCCTCCCTTCCATTCCTAAAATACCAGCAGAGCCGCATACATTCCACCTTCTCTTGGCCTTCCCTCCTTGGCCCCTTAAGGACCCCCGCAGTGAAACCATCCCTGGCCTGACGCTTTCCTCCTGCTGCCCAGGACTTCCTCCCCTCTCGCTGCAGACACTCCTCTCTACGAGGTAATATTTATAGAGCACAGTTCCCCTGCCCCCACCCCGCCCAATGTCAGCCCCACCAGTTCCTCCCACTGATAATCTTTAGTCCACAGTTAGGTGGTTTACATCCATCTCCTACTGTTCTACTCCTTGTTTTAACAGGACGTGGGAGGCCTGCGGTGCCTGTGCAGACTCACCCTGGACAGCGGGCGCTCCGGATGCCCATGCAGCGGGAAAAGTTTCCCTCTGAGAGGTGCACCATCTCTGGGTACTTTTCCTGTGTGGGGAGAAGAAACGGGTACAGACAGACTGGCTGGGAGGAGCAAGGGGCTGCATGTGTACGAGGGATGCTCTAACTGGCCGACAGGGATACACTTTCGAAGCATCTTTCCTATTCCCATTCCTCTAAGAGCTATTCCCTCTGTGCCGGCCCCACTCCTGCCTCCTGCCTTCACCCACCAATTCCATGGCCTCTGGCTTCCAGGCTCGGCAACTTTCACTTCCTATAAAATTAACATTTTATGTAACCACTGTAAAACTTTATTCTGATTTCACCAGTTCTTCCACCTGCTTCCATCTGGGATGGCTCCTCAGTCTGCCCTTGTCTCTCACAACTTGGATGCTCTGAAGAGGGTGATGGTCAGGGGATGTCTGTGGGTTCTCAGAGAGCTTTAGCATCTGACCATAAAAGCCTTTCAAACTGAGGCTCTACAAAGGCTGTGGCCATCCCCTCCCACAGCAGACGCTCCGAGCCTGTCCATCCTCACAACTCACCCAAATGGCCCCTAGCCCACACATCCTTCCTAGTGTGGTCAGATTGTGCCCAGTGGAGGCACCTGGCTCCCACTGCGATAAGGGAAAGTGCATGCTTTGGTAAAACTTCATGATGAGATCACATACCATTCTAAAGTCTAAAGTGTTCTTTCAAATAGGGAAATAAAGTGGAATTTCACAAATTTGTAGGCTTGCAACCCTAAGGTAGGTTTGTTTCTCCCTCAGGTAATATAATTCTGGACCTGACTGCTTGTCTCTGTTATTCATAGCAGGACCTGGGAACTTTGGTCATACCAGAACTGACACATTAATTGAGATCATTATAACAACTAAACTTGCTTTATAGGAATGGGATCAGAAGATATATATTCACAACTGATAAGAGTAACAGTGGCCCCATCTTCTCAGTTCTTAAAAACTTTTTTTGGCTGCTCCTGTGAGAACACATTACAGGGTCAGGGGTGATACAACAGAGACTTGGAGTAGTTTCCCCTGTGAGATGTCAAGTTTCCGGGGTGAGCCTCTGAATATACATTCTCCTTTCTGTCCTCTCACAGCATCTGATGTAGAAATAGAAACCGGGGTTGATGCTTAAGTCAGATGCAAGCCCTGCCGTGACCAAGACCAAAACCATCGTGGCTCCCCCATACCTCATGGAAGGAGAGTAAGGTGCAGTTTTCTCTGAGAAATACCTGTCCTGACAGCCAGTAAGAGGACCCCAAGGACAAGGGAGCAGAGCTAGACTCGTGGTGGCAGAGCCTTCTGGAGGCTGCAGATACTGGCTGGATTGAACCAGAACAGCTCAGTCAAATGAGGTTGTGTAGGGACAAAGACGTGTCACAGCTTTTAAAGGAAACAGCCCTGGCTCAGTGAGCTGTTGTCAGCATGGGAAGCCAGGGCTGCCAGCGCCCCTGTGCAGGAAGACGCGATGGAGCAGCACATCCAGACACCAAGCTGTGCCAACCAAACGCTGGGGGGGCCTGGTTTAGGCTTACAGATAATTACTAATTTCAGCAAAACAGTTTTTACAAGAAAATGTATACCTCAATGATTTAAGTGGAAAGTGCTGGTTGATTTTTAAACCTCAGGCTCTTCTAAATTAATAACAACTGTATGAGGGACATAAAGGAAAGCATGTGAACGTGGCAGTTTAGCTTCCAGGCTGTGCTCAGCGGCTGCACGTGGGACTCATCAGAGGCACTGGGCCTGGACTAGCTCCAACATGGGGCCCGAGGCTCAGCCTCCAAGCACAAGGGAGCGATCTCCACCCCCCGCCCAGGCCACTCCTCACCTCCCCTTGTGAGCAAAAGGAGCATTTAAAATGGATGCTTTCACTAAAAATTAAAGTGTACTCCCTTCAATTAAAGTAAGAAGTAGAAATGCTGACATTAGGAAGATATTAGGCATTTGGTATGTTTCTGGGGAACTTTTTTGGAATTGTGTGAAAAGGTCTTTTCTACATAAGTTAATAATATTGCTCCGTTTGTCCAGCTGTATTCATCTGTCTGGTAATTTCAACTATGGAGAGCACAATTGAGAATATGAAGGCAACAACTAAAGGCTGATGAACAACCCAAATAAACAACATAAACATAAAGGATTGGTCTCACTGACAGAAGGTGGCTTTGAAGGAGAAGACAGAAAAGTTGTGAAGAAAGATATAATTAAATACAGAGTGAGCTTGAGGTCATTTGGCATAAGATCACACCTCAACATCTCAACAGTGATGGAAAGCTTTACATGTATTTATTACATGTATTCACATACATGCATTTACATACCAGTATTTGATATTGAGAAAAGATGACCAAATCAGCAAGAAAGAGTTACGATGGTCATACTCTGATAAGGCGGAGATATGTACAATATATATTAGAATACTTGCCATGAACAATAGTTACACAAAAAAAAGTTAACTGGAAAATTATAAACCTGATCTGGAAAGCACCTTAGGCACATCACATTTTGCTACCAATAAAACCAAGGCCCAGAGAAGGGAAGCACCTGGCTGGATTCTCAGAGGATCCAGTCTTGGACTCATTCTAGTGTGCCTGAGTGATTCTGCACCCATGAGAGTTCTCTTGCATAACAGAAAGTGAAGGGGAAGCCTCTGCTTCCAGGAATGTCATCAGGAAGGCTGTGATGTGGGGGACGACTGTCGGGAGGAGGTCTCCTGGGGTCTCGTTATGCACACTAACCGGCTGGCAAGCAGTGACGCCTCCCTTCTGTAGCCCCCAGCCTTCCACAGGAAAGCTCCTCTCTGCTGAGGAATGTTAAGGCATGATTCAAATAGGTGTTTATTCAGCTGCTTGCCATATGCTGGGAGTTTGCATTCAAGAACTCTCCTGGTGTTTACGATAGAACAATGATGGTTGTGAGAATGCTGGCAATTTGATTTCCAGCCTGTTTTTACACCTGAGACCCAGTGCTGGATGCGAGTCCAGAGGGAAGAGAATTTTTAACAGAGCTTTACAGAAAACCAACCTTGTGTTTATGTTTCAGACATAACAGTGCGGTGCCAAAGAAGCATGGTCACATCACCTCCCCTTCCACTATGTCTAACAAAATTCACTCAATTGTATAATTCAATGGGTTTAATATATTCTCAGAGTTGTGCAACCCGCATTACTAATTCCAGAACATTTTCATCATCCCATAAAGAAACCCTGTGCCCTGTATCTATTGCCCCAAGCTCCTCAATATATTCTCAGAGTTGTGCAACCCGCATTACTAATTCTAGAACATTTTCATCATCCCATAAAGAAACCCTGTGCCCTGTATCTATTGCCCCAAGCTCCTCAACTCCACCCCCAGCCTAGACATAAGCAACCACTTATCTACTTTCTGTCTCTATAGATTTCCCTTTTCTAGACATTTCATATAAGTGGAATTATACAATATGTGGTCTTTTGTGCTGGCTTATTTCACTTAAATTTGTTTTCAAGGCTCATCTATATTATAGCATGGATCAGAATTTCATTTTTTATATTGCTGAATAACATTCCACTGTATGGGTATACCATATTTTGTTTATCCAGTCATCAACTAATGGACACTTGGGTTGTTTTTATTTTTTGGCTATTGGGAATAATAATGCTATAAACATTTGTGTACAAATTTTTCTATGTACATATATCTCAGAGTTTCTCTTGGTTATATAACTAGGAGTGGAATTGCTGAGTCATATGATAACTCTATATCACCATTTGAGGAATTGTCAAACTATTTCCCACAGAAGTTGCACTATTTTTATAATTCCATCAGCAGTGTTGGAGGGTTCTCATTTCTCCATATCCTTGCCAACGCTTATTTTCCTTTTTTCAAATTATAGCCTTCCTAGTGGGTATGAAATGGTATCTCAAAGTGGTTTTGATTTGCACTTTCCCCATGTGCTTATTGTGCTCTTTGTATACTTTTCTTTGGAGAAATGTCTATTCAGATCTTTTGCCTATTTTTTAATTAGATTATTTGTTTTTTTATTATTGAGTTGTAACAGTTCTTTATATATTCTAAATACAAGTCACTTATCAGATATGGTGTTCAAAAACATTCTCCCATTCTGCGGGTAGTTTTTTTACTTAGTGGCATCATCTGAAGTACAAAGTTTTTAATTTTGATGAAGTCAAATTAATTTTTTCCCTTTTTTTTTTTCCTTATGCTTTTGGTGTCACAGCCAAGAAACCATTGCCTAATGCAAGGTCACAGAAACTTACACCTATGTTTTAATTCTAGGAGGTTTACATTTCTAGCTCTTAAAATTAGGTCTTTTGCATATTGTGTGAGGTAGGGATCCAATTTCATCCTTTTGCCTGAGAATATCCAATTTGTCCCAGCACCAGTTGTTGAAAAGACTGTTCCTTCCCTATTTAATTGTCTTGGCTCCATTCACATTTTAATGACATTTTTTCTATTTTGAAAGATAGCCTCGTCTAGAGAGAGGTAAGATCAGTAAGGTCACACTGTGGGGCAAAATGCTGGCAAAACTAATTCCAGATTCCTCAGGAACTGGTGCTGGGACAACTGGATATCCACATGCAAAAAAATGAACCTCAATGCCTACCTCATACAATATACAAAAATTTACTCAAATTGATCATAGATATATATGTAAGAGCTAAAACTATAAAACTTCTAAAAGAAAACATAAGAGGAAATCTTTGTAATACTGGGTTACAAAGATTTCTCAGTTACAAAGATTTCTCAGTTATATAACAAAAAGCAAGGACCATAGAGAAACAAACAGGCTTTATCATAATTAGAAACTACTGCTCTTAAAAGCCATTGTAAAGGGGCCGGCCCGTGGCTCACTCGGTAGAGTGCGGTGCTGGTAACACCAAGGCCACGGGTTCGGATCCCATATAGGGATGGCCGGTTTGCTCACTGGCTGAGTGTGGTGCTGACAACACCAAGTCAAGGGTTGAGATCCCCTTACCAGTCATCTTTAAAAAAAAAAAAAAAAAAAAAAAAAAGCCATTGTAAAGAAAAAATGGCCAGCCTCAGACTAACTGAAAATACTGGCAAAAACTTGTATCCAAAATAAGTAAAGGACACTTACCATTCAGTAAGAAGATGATAAACAATCCATTAAATAATGGGCAAATGATTTAAAGACAGCAAAGAAGAGATGTGGATGGCAAAGGACACATCACTAGTTATTAGGGAAATCCAAATTAAAACTACAATGAGATACCACT